CTAAGTTTTAAATACATCGGTCAAGAAGCGCCGTAAGTAGATGTAATTTTTTTCCTTTCATTATTTTTGGATCCTTTAAGAGTAGCCGAAAACTGCTCTGATATTTCGATGCATTTTTCATACAAAATTGCGTAAAGGCCTTTAAGGTAAAAAGAGCAGATTACTTTTTTTGGCCGATGCTTTGTGTTAATAATTGCACTTTCTGCGACTTGCTTAAGTCATTTTATTGCCCGTTTAATTTCAGGTTCACCTAAATGCCAGCGAAAAGTGATTAGGAAATTGCCAGTTATGAGCTAAATTCGGGTTCGTAGTGTACTTAACATAGACTGTTGGCACCTAACACCTTATCCAACATTTCATGCCGTTCCCTGCCATATTTCCAAACACCATTTGAAGAGGAAGTCGCTGTTTCTCTTGGTCGCCAACTTGTCTACCCATCTTGACCGCTTCTTGATTAGTTACAATTAGTTATCTGTTTCGTTTCGTTAGCTTAAATTTTTACACCCATCACCAATAAGGGATGAGGGGTCTAATCACATCAACTTGTTGGCAACGCCTAAAAGGAGGAAAAGCTTCTGAGATCTCCACAAAGTATGGAAATTCTTGATTTGTATTAAATTGTGGATCGATTAAATCATATCTTTCTTTCCTTCTATCCGTCTGTCCGTCTGTTGCAGATGTTTTCTTGGTGGCAAAAATGAAGCTACCGACTTCAAATTTTGCAAGAACATTGGAAGTTTTTGCACGCAGATTGGTATTGAAAATGGTTCAAATCGGTCAAAGGACGCTCCTATAGTGCTACATAGAAGAGACGATATCTCTATTTTTCAAAAGGAATAAAAAGGTGGTTTCATTATCATTATTGATAAGCTTCCGCAGATAAATCTACAAAACATTCAACGTATATTCTATGGGCGATGCTGTAGTATCTCTAAAGAAATGTAAAAACGACCACGCCTACTCAATTTATTCACGACCGAGTATAATTATCTTACTTATTTCCATTCAGGACTTTGCATTTGCAGCCATTATTCAACCTATACTTGATGGGATCCTTTATTAGCAATATTTTATAAATGAAGTGTAAAGTGTATACAAGAACTTTTTAAAGACCTTGTTGCCCGGCTAATTAGGAAAATGCAGAATTAATCCAAACACTTCTCTCAATTCAAACATATTGTTCTCAATTAGCTTTGTTTGTCTGGTTACTTTGAAATATTGTACTGCTTTGAAAGTAGACAGCAATATCCGATTTCTTCATCCTCCTCGGGATTATACAGGCTTATAGATTATTTTATGCGCATGAAAATATGCTCGATTTGCAAAAAAAAAAAAAAAAAAAACAAAAAAATGTTATGAAACGCTTTGAATTCGTTTATGTCGAATATATATATATAGAAAATGATTGCAGTCTGAAGTGATGAAATTTTGGGCTTTTTTTTGTTGTTTTTGTAAATGAAATAACAGAGATAGAATTTCTTCTTTTTTTAACTTTTCTCAAAAAATTAAAGTTCATTTGTGCTACCATCTTGCATAATAATTCATTGAAGGTATTATGCAGTCTACATTAAGGCTTCCACCCAAGCTTTCAACTGAAGCATATGTTAAGGATTTTCTATGCAAATCATGAAAATTTCACAAAATAAATATAAACCATTGTAGCCATTAAAATACATATTTCCCATAATATTTACTTTTCTTTGTATTAGTTAACTGAAATACAAAAGCTGCACAATTTATGTCCGGCTTATGTTCAGATATTTTTACGTAAAAAAAATTATTCTTTATTGTTCCATATATTTATTTGCATACTTGCTTTATATAAGTATCTCATACAAAATAGTACATAATAATACTAGATCTTCCGATGACCAACGTTATCTAATGTAAGCATATCATCATCATCATCAACATAATTGTTATATAAAAATAAAGCATAACTAAGCTTTAAGGAGATTAGAAGAAAGAACATACCAAAGGAATATGTGCTTAAAGATATTATAAATAAAATGTGTAAGGAAATCATAGTTGTAAACATAAAATGTCAAGTACTTCATATGTTAAATACTTTCAAATACATACATTCCGTAGTAGATTTTCTCTCTCGTAATGCAAAAATCGAAAAGAGTAAAAAAACAAAATGTACAGAGATAAACCGAGCAAAAAAAAAAAAAAAAAAATAAGAAAAAAAGATCATACCAAAATATATACATACATCGAAGACTTTGTTAAGAAAAACTATTTTGAATCACATAAGGAACAGATTTGCGTTTTATAATATGATTACATATATATAAGTATATCACTGAAGGTAGTTCCATCAAATCATTTCACGTGCGCATCACCGGCGCTTACGTTGGATCAAGTGATTAATTTTTTACCCATAAATACATAGTGTCTTCTTCTTTCTATATAAACATATGATGAGTTTGTCAAAAACTTATGAAACATAACAATTTATGCGGCTGACAATTTCACATGAATCGGATGCTTTTCACATGCAATGTGTTTACGCAATTATTTCTGCATTCACTCTGAAACGTTTAGAAGGACATACAATAAGGTGAGAGTGCCTTGATACTCTGAATAAGTTTGGCAAGCATGTTCCACAGCACACTTGCCTAGGATGCCTAAGCATTAGGGTATCAAATGCAATGAAAGGGCTGAATACGGAGACTCGAGGGATGATAACTGGTTGGAAATATATCTGAGGCATATCAAGGAGCCGTAGAAAAAATCAGTTGGTCATTGGAAATGCAGTGTAGGGCAACGGCAAGCAAAGGATTTAATAAGATCCCTGCTTGAGCCGTGGAGACGTGATCTACACTTGCTTACACGTCTTACCCTACATGGGTGATAACTTCTTTGGGTATTACCTGAAAAACATGGGTATCTTAGATGCAAATTTGTGCAGATTCTGGGAGAAAAGTTAACAAATTTCGGTTACTGATCGAATGACAAAATCTTCTGAAATCGATTTAGAGCACATAGCACGAGGCAGGATGTGACTTTTTACCAATAATTTTTAATACAGTTTTTAGAGCGACAATTCAAGGGACCTGTCTAAATAATTCAAGACCTTATGCCTAAGCTTTATAAGATCTTCAATGCCTATTATGTAAAGGCAACTGATGGCAATGATAGAATGATGCTAATGAGTAACAGATTATTAGTTCACCTAGAAAAAAAAGGTAAAGAAGAAAAGCTGAGACTGAGAACCGAACAACAGATAAAACAAAGAATGAAGAGAAAACTAGGTAATCAGGTTAAGAATGAAAACTACATAAATACTAGAGCATTAAAAGTGATTAACCTAAATAATGTTTGACGGAGAGCATAAAATTTGATCTCGAAATTTAACTATGATATTAAAAAGGAATTATTAAAGAAGGATTGACATCAAAATATATATACGTAATTTTGTAACAATTGAAAATCGTAACTCATTTTGGGTTTTATACGAGTAACCTAGTTTTTCGATAGGTTTAAGTTATCTATAATAGAATCTAAAGTCATCATATTCTCAGTTAGTTGTAAGGGGAATGAAATAACTTTTAGAATGAGGGTGATTTCAATCATGTTCACTTTGGCGAACGAGATCAACTTTTTTTCTTCTAATCTTACACGACTATCCTAGAGTTGGCACCCTAATGATCGTTTCGTCCGTGGAACCTGTTCGCTTTTACGATACTAAGTTCGTTTAGTCCTCGTCTCTCCGCCTAATCATCAACGTCTAGGTATTGATCCGGAAAAAATAAATTTTTTATAGGGGAACTTGACAAGCAGGCAGGCGGATCTTAAAGACTTTTGTCGAAATACTCCGCCCAATGTGTAATCGGATGGTGGTTTTGATGACATTTATGTAAGCGAAGATTGATCCGCGCAGGCGTGAAACAAATATACGCTTAGATTATGATAAGAAATTCTTCCCAGCTTTTCTTACTTCATTACAAAGTCAAGTTCAATTATAAACTTGCACCTTATAAAAGACCCTTTTGGTGCTTTATGCGAATGCGAGACGAATCAAAATTTAAAATTGTTTTGCGATTTCTTAAACTATGTTGGAATTTCAAAGTTCGCAAAAAATCGTATTGGAACACTACAAATTTGATTTAGCTATAGGTACACTTGAGCCAATTAAAAACTAGTTTCCAATATTGTATTGTACAACTACAGATATTAAGACTTCATAGGAAGAATCTTTGGCCTGATCTTTGCGGTCAATTGCATATCATAGCAGACGACTGAACAAGCTTTTTATGGTGATTATGTTGGGATGAAAAATTGTAGTTTTTTGCTGCCAGACTAAGCACTTCTCGCCTTTCTCTCGTAATATTTTTAATCAGCATAAGGAAACGCTTGTATTTTAAAGGACTGCTTTGCGAAAATTGGAAAGGAAAAGAAAATCTGATCGGGTGCATATTCGCCGTAATTTTTGATTCTTGTTCTCTCTCTTCTGTCAGCGAACGTTAAAGGCAAGCATGAATAGCACTTCAACGCATGACTGAACAAGGCGGTCGTAATGAAATTGGTCGCTCCCTTATATCTATGTGATTTGTGCAGTTAATGACATTTCTAACAATTCCCAGATAACTTTTACAAGAATTTATTCATCTACCGACGTGCAATGAAACGTTCGTCAATGGCCCAAGCGGTTTTGAAAGTTTCAAGTAAAGTGCGATACATTTTAAACACAATCTTGATAGACGTAAGTCAAGTGTAGTAATACAAAAAACTATTAAAGTAACTTTTGAATATTTTCGATCGCTTTCGTTGACCTTCGCATTCGTTGGCATAGGGATGAACTCTTCGTCAACTTTTTACAAATGTATTCTCGAATAATCTCTTATGAGGCTTTTAATTTAAGTTTTTTTTCCTTCATTCCTTCAAGTATTGTATGTATATATATTTATTGTTCGATTTTTACTGAATAGAAAAAATTTCTATTATTTTAAAATTTCTTTTCATAATCAAATTTTTTGCTTTAGAAGAATACTCACAATTAATATAAAAGTTTTCATTGATATCATTTTGTCTTTTGTTTATTTATTTTTTTTTCTTTTAAATTTCAAAAAAAAAAAAAAATTTGCGTTTTTATTATTATTTTTAGATTTTAAAATAAATTTTCAATTAAAAATTTTTCAACAATTTTGTTTTTTTTTTTTTTTTTTTTTTTGATTAATCCGCTATAACAACAACACACCAACCATCAGTATAAGAATAATCCCTTTTGTTGTCCTGATACTGAGGTGGTTTTCTCCAAAACAACCGTTCGCGTATGTATTTTATTTCAATTTTTCGTATTTCTAATATTTAATTGTTTGCCAATCAAGCGTACGTAACGAACACACGTCGGAATTGAATTAGGGTTTCATAAAGCGATGCAACGCTTTTTATAACAATTGCGGATGAATCTACATCTACATACTTAGTTAAACGTGAAGATTCTGCTGCTAACAACAATAACAAGAACAACAGCAGTAGCAACAACAACCATGACAACAATATCAACAATAACAACAACAACAATAACGAAACCAATAACAATGATTGTAAAGTAACAAACAGCAACAAACTATAAAGTAATTCAAACATTGAAAGAGTCAAAACGAACAACAACAACAACAACAACAACAACAATACGCCATGACGATGATGAGATTCAGATATGGATCTATACTGTCTTTGAATTTTGTTTTTGCTTTTCTTTTCTTTGAATATTATTGCAGTTCTTTTGCTTCTCTGCAAAAAAAAAAAAAAAAAACAAAAAACAAAACTCTCTTAGCTATAAAATGTGCATTAAACATGATCTTCTAGATCATCTTCATAATGATGATCATCATCATTATCGTCATTAACATCATTATTATTATTATTATCATCATCAGCATAATTATCATTATCATCATTCGATGAATAATAAAAGTGAGCGTTTTACTCTTTATTACTCTTTGAAGAGTTAAACATTCAGTTCACTTAATTATTTAAAACTTCATAACGCTGCTTAAACACACAAGCCTCCATACACGTGCGAATATAAACTCATCGTGTCTTATGAATCTTTTTTTTTTTTTTTTTTGTTTAAATTTTATTCCCGATCAAATGCTTTCAGTAAATTGTGGCGATCTCTTCTTGCCGCTGGGCAAGTATTACTTAATTAATTAACCTGTTCTTGCTCTGTTACAATTGGTATTCTTAGCGCACACAAAATACTTTTACATTAATTACACTAATCTATCAACGTTAAAATTCTATTTGCCTTGCGAAGAGCTGCGTATATCTGCCGTATCTGATGAATGGCTCGTATTATTTCATTTACATAGTCACATAAACATTTCTTTGCATTCTGCAGTTATTTTCAAGTTGATAAATACATTTCTAATTACACTTGTTAAGAATAATATTTATTGGTACTGCAATTATCTTTTCCAAGAAGACAACGTTTTATAATCACCACCGATAGATGGGCGGAATTTTTTATTTATTTTATTTGCAATAGCCAGCCATAAATACGCACTAAAGATCCCCTACATTATTTATTATCTTGATCACTACAACATGTCGAGCTTATTAATCCATCTCCCCCTAAACGTTCCTCTGTCATCCATTAGTTTTCGGAGTTTTTCAGATTAAATTATTGAAATTTGTCCTATGGCTTCCACGTGCCAAATTTGACATTGCCTATCATCAATTACTAAAGGTCTAAATATTAACTTCATCTATGTGTAGCGTCAAAGCGTTTGCTATTCCGAAGATCTCGAAGGACCTGTGATTGATCTAAAAACACAAACATATGTTTAGATTGTGTTGCATGTTGTTTTAGAAGAACTGAGCGATGTATTTTTAATTATTTGGATTCAAGGTTCACGTCCAAACGATTATCACGTTATTACTTTATCCATGTGACAAGAAAGGCCTGTTGATATGCAACGGTCTACAATAGTCATCATCATTTCAAAATTCAACCCAAAACAACAGAAGCTACAAACACACTAGAAACTCGGAATGCGTAGTCCTTTTGGCGTAGAGTCGGCTAACCGAGCTACCAGCAACTACAGTTTGTATGTTACCATGTTTCGAAGCAGGATATGAGAGAGGGATTTATATATAATTAAGTTAAGACAATGGCAATTCATCCGGCATTAAGGCAATTCGAAATTTATCAGAGGGAACTGTAATTTATTAACAAAACAATGAGAGGGCGCCTGTTGGCTGTTATTTCTCGCCGCTCAGAACACACAAAGTTCACACTGTCGCCGCGTAAAGCAATGCTTTGCACTTAGTAGGTCTGTAAGAGAATTGTGAATAATAAGCTGATACCTTATCAGTTGCTTTAACCTGGTCAGCTGTTTCAATTCTCCTGCTTAGTCCATATCTAAAGCGATCAAAATGTCCAGGTAGAGTGTTCAGAATTTTTGGACTAGAAAGTTGCTGGCTTTCTTTACGACAGGAAGTTAGGAAGTTTAGATGCAAACATAGTTATGTACGACTACCTTTCATTTTGCTCTCTGAGGATGTTCAGACCCCATGAAAAACGCACAAGTACTGCAATGATGGCATAATGGCTTTATCAGGAGCAGACTACAGATGCAATTTGCACATATTTAGTTTAATAAAATTATTTGAAGTATTTACTAAAGTTTTTTTAAAATTTTGCGAAAAAAAAACACCAAGACATCAACGCTTTGACGCAGCACGTGTGACCCATATATAGACGTATATGAACAGATTGAGCTTATCGGAGCAAGAACAGATGGTCATAAGTAGATCAGCATATATAGTTTTACGCTGAGGAAGATGTATATATATCGTTACGGAAAACCCAAATCCAGTTCATTCCAACTAATTGATTTTCCCAAATAATCCCTTCTCGCTAGAGAAGGAAAACCCAAAAGCACATTCGCGGCGCGTTATGCAGCTGCCGGCCGAGGAAAACGGTTAGCGGAAAAGCAGGTTAACGAGTTGAAAATGAAACCATGCACTTGGGTAATAGTAATATGGTTGTAAAAATGTTTATAAATACTCTGCGAAAGGCAGAGTCAGTCGGACAAGAACATTTGAGTCGAAAAAGAATATTAGAGGTGAGAAGTCGAGATTATTGTCAAAATAAAATGCAAACAGTCTTACCCTTAAACAAATTGATTGTAAATAAAAGAGTCTTATAGTAAAAACATGCAAGTGTGTGTGTTTTTCTTAAAAAGCATATGCACGATCCAGTGATACGAACCGTATCCGAGAAAAGCGAATTTATATATGCGTATAAATTATATATGTGTATATCTGGGCTTCAAAGATTCCTCGAGTGGCGAGTATAGCTCTATTTCATCATATTAATAGTAAGAAATGCTTATTGTCGACGTTAGATGTTAAAAAAAAAAAATATTGAGCCCTCTATTAGAAATGGTCTTCTTTAGTGTGGATGTATGAATTTTGATTCCATTTCTTAGCACGTCCCTCTCATGCCATAGATAGCAGATGTCCAAGACGGCGACCACATCATTACTATGTCGCTATTGGTGTTTTAGCAATGTACAGATTACGATGTATTCGTAATTTACATTTTTATGAATTTGTTTTTTTTCTTATTTTGCATAAATATTTGAATAAATTCGTATAAAAAAAAAAAAAAAAATTTGCATAATTGTCACTTTGTATGGATTTTATATCGTATTATTGTGTGTAATTGTCTTTTCATTTATTGTTATGTGTGTTTCGTTTTTTGATTTGGTCGAAGTTTTTATGAATTTAATGTTTTTTTTTATTTGCTTAATAAAGTATTCGTGAATTTCTTTGATTTATTACAATTTATGCTGAAAGTTAATTCATTTTGTTTATTATTATTATTATTATTGTTGTTGTATTTCATATTCTACAGCGATTCCGATTTAATAATAAACGAGATATATTGTAAAAGTCATTCGAACTCTTGGTTACTTTGTTAACTGAATGAATTAATGAAAAGTGTTCATTATCACACATTCAACAAATTGTTTGTTGTGAATTATCAATTCAAAGGTAATAGTCGAATCAATGCTTCACTTCTTAATTGATACGAAAGCTTAGCAAAACGAATTAATCCATGAGTTTAGTTTTGGGGGAAATTTCGTTATCTTTTCTTTTTTTTTTGCTTATCGTAATTTAATATAAGATAAATTTTGGTCAGTTGATGAAAGTATTATGGCAGTCCTGTTGCTTAGCTGCCGAGGTTTCTCAACAGAATGAACTATGAAATTTGAATGGCATTAAACGGGCTGTTCATTTGGAGAAAGGTTGAAAAGCAGACAAGAAAGTTCCTTCGGATTCCGAGCTTTAGAAAGATCCTGGCAAGTAAAGATACAAAGAAGTCTTTCTTTCTATGCAATAGAAATCTCTTAAAAATGCAATTCTATTGTATATTCTTACAATACCTTCCAAATAGGTAAGGCGAAGCTTTCTGGCCCCCAGACAGAAAAGTAAATTGCATATTGTCTTGTCTTCCCATTGCTTCGACTATAACTATGCAGTCCCTAGTAGCTTAATAAGCTCGAGTTTTTATTATATGTTCTTCCACTGCCTTCCAA